TGGCGAGCTCCTGGGCTGACATGGGAGGAAAGAAATGGGTGCTTTCATAAACTGTTGGTGCAGAAGCTGCCTCCGAAATTCAAAGGAAGTGTGCAGCAGCATAGAGCAGGGCTGTGGCGCAGATCTGCCGATGGCTGCAGTGGGTGGTGTGACAGAGGATTTGCGAAGAAGAGGTGCAAAGTGAAACTTCAAAGGCCAGTGTCACAGAGAAGCAACAGTCCACGTGACTTCTGGGAAACCAGCCCTCCGCGTGGGTGTAAAGGGGACCTCACAGAAACATAGAGGTTTGAAGGCCTTGGAGTCTGAGAACAGGAAGAACGTGCAAGAAGGTTCAAAACAACAGCATCTTCCACAGCCCCTCCCTAAATCACCCCAGCCCGTGATTTCTTCCAGAGGTTTGACATTTTTCTCCATTGCAGAAAATGGCAGAAAGGATTGTCAGAGCCAGGGCCGGCTCCAGGAGCCACTTCCAACAGGAACCAGGCCCTTGCTGGGCCTCGGGATGTCTGTAAAATGGGATCATGCTAGTTCCTCCTCAGTCTTGTTGGAACGCTGAACGAGAAGGTAACTATAAAAGAAGCCAAATATGGTGCTGGACAAAGTAAGTACTCTACTAAAGAACATAGCACAGTAAGTTAGGCTTATTGATGTGGGAATAGGTCACCTGGAGGGCAGACCAAGCACACAGAAGGAGAGATGACAAGCTGTACAGGAATATGTGTATCTAATGAGATGTCAAAGCTAACAATAAATGCAGCACAGTGTCAACTGTTACCACTCTAACAATCAAGAAAAAGACAAACACCTAGAAGGAAAGAAATCAGCAAAGGATACAGATGATTCATAAAAGAGAAAACATACACAGCCAGGAAACATAAGCTCAACCTCAACTGAGGCAAGAACGATAAGATTAAACAACTGTAAGATTTTATGTTTAGTCATAAAACTAGGAAGAACTTTAAAAAAGTCAATCTCAGGGCCGGGGATTTAGCTCAGCGGTTCGGTGGTCTGCCTCGCAAGCACAAGGACCCGAGTTCAATCCCCGGTACCAAAAAAAAAAAAAAGAAAAGAAAAGAAATAAAAAAGTCAATCTCAGACTGGATATGGTGCAGCACATTTGTAATTCCAGCACTCAGAAGGCTGGTAGGTAGACTGCCATGAGTTCAGTGCCAGTCTGGAGTACACAGTAAGTTTAAGGACAGACTAAAATACACAGCAAGACCTGACCCTAGATAGATAAATAAAGAGATAGATAGAGAGATAGTCAATCTCAGCACTCTGATTTGAGCCTATCCTGGGCAATTTAGCAATACTATGTCTTAAAAGAGAGAGACAGAGACAGAGACAGAGACAGAGACAGAGACAGAGAGACAGTGGCACTGTGTCTGCCTCTCAAACACAAGGTCCTGAGTTCAATCCCTGATTCCAAAAAATGAGAGAGAAAAGAGCATAGTCCACTTTTGAGTCAGAACATTTCTGAAGGACAATTTGAAAATACACGTGGGAAAACTCCCAAATGGGCGCCCCTTTTATCCCAGGTTGCTACAGTCTCGTCCTCTGCCCCCTTCCCCTCTGAAGAGAACACCAACTCCTGACCCTGTGGCCACAGTCGGCAAGCCTGGCAGACCCTCATTTGAGATGGCAGAGCATGCAGGGGGAAAGAGAGAGAATGACAACTTGACCAGGGTGGGGGACCCTGATACATGCAGTTGGAAACTGGGGGTCATTTTCACAGAGCAGAACCAGAGAAGGCCAGCCTTTTCCTGGCAGAGCAGAGCAGGTGTCCAGGGAGGCCCAGGCAAGAGGGAGGGGTGCCACTCCAGGTGTCAAGATGGGGTTAGGTGTGTATGTCACGTGGGGAACACCCTGAAGACAAAGGCAGAAGCAGGGGCTGCAGGAAGCCCTCCAGACCACAATGGGGGTGTGATGTCTTCAAAGGGAGAACAAAGAGGCCACACCTTGCATTGGGGCAGCGCAAGACTTGCCAGGGTGCAGGATGGAAGGTCGAAACAACCTGTCTCTATCCCCTGAGTACCCAGGGCCTGGTTAGGGTGGCCCATGCAGGAGAGAGCAGGGCAGGGCAGAGCAGGGTTTGGCATGAGTAAGTGTTGGATGGGAAGGTGCCAGAGGCCGGTCAGGAAAAGGAGAATAGAAGAAGCAGCTTTCCTGAGTTTCCCTCAGCCTAGAGGCAAAAGGGACAAGGATAAGCTTGCCGTTTCACAGGAAGGGAAGGTGTGACAGCTGACCAGGACTACCACCAACTGCAGAACTCAAGTCACCCTGCAGCTTCCCGCTGCAGGCCTGCTCTGTCCGGGGTGGCAGATCTCCTGGAAGGGCCTCTGTCTGCCCTAACCCTACCTCGGAAATCCCTGCCTTGCTTTCCTCCTGCTGGCTTCCTCTGGGAAACCACCCAGCTTATCCTAGCTTGTCCCTAGCCCTGCTCATATCCTTACAGAAAGAAGTCCACATGACTTCACCACAGATTCTCAGAAGCATCTTTGTAGCCATCTTCCTGGCTCCCCAAGGTCCAAGGCCCTGAGTGCAGGTCTGGGAAGGTGGGGACATGTGCAGACACAACCTCCCCACCGGGACCTCTCTGGCCCTGGGAGCCCGCTGCACCCTCCATCCTGACTCCCCCGTTCCTTGCTTACTCCGGGGTAACCCCACATTTCACTCCTTCAGTGACTCCCTGGAACTCAGCTGCTCCTGGCCCGTCACCTACTCCACAGGATGGAGGCAAGCAAGGTGTAGCTGGTGCTTTTCACACACCTGTACTTGGACCCCAGGCCCACCCTACACAGGGTGTCAGCCCCACCGGCCAAGAGGACACTGAGGCTAGGGACCAAGGTGACTCACCTGAGCCTGAGTCCCTGGCCTGGATGCTGGGCTAGGGAGGCAGCTGCTGGCCAAGTGCATCACACACTGGGTGGCAAGGTGGGAGGAGGCACCCCCACCCCCACCCCCACAGCTCTGCTCACAGCAGCACCGGGTTTCATTTCATCTTTTTGCAAACAATACGGTACTTTAAACACCAGAAAGCAGGGAGTGGGAGCGGAACGGGAATAAAGCTACCAATTGACAAAGCCAGCCAGTGTCTAACCACCTTTCCTATGAGAATGAAAGATGTAAGAGGAAACCAACAAGTATCCAGGTTGAGCATCCCTCATCTGGTAATTCGAAATGTGCCCAACAGGGGCAGAGGACCTGAATGGCCATTTCTTAAAATAAGACAGACACATGGCCAATTCGCACCTCACGAATCATCAGGGAAATTCAAACTAAAGCCAGAGAGATACCTCTCACCTGCCAGATGCCAGCATGAAAGCCAAGTGTGTTGGAGCGCACGGAGAAATGGGGAGCCTCGCACACAGGCTGGGAACGGAAGTTAGCACAGCCGCATGGGAGTGCCTCGGAAAACTGAAAATAGAACAATCATAGATCAGCAATTCCATGTAAGGGTATAAATACAAGGAATATGAAGCCAGGAGGATGACAGGATGTCGAGAGATGTCTGCATTCCACATTCACCGCAATATCTTTCTCAACAGCCAGGCCACTCTTAGAACTCCACCCCACAGGCCTTTTCCCCCTGGCCTGTGTCAAGCTTTAGATCTCTCATGAGCTCAGGGGTGGGGCTTTTGGAAGGTGACTGGCTCCTGGAGACTGGCTGTTAGGAGAAGGGCCCAGTCAGAGGCGGGTCCCTGGGGGCATGGCCTGGAAGCACAGATCTCCCTCTTCTTTCACTCTCCGCTTCCCACCCCACCATCTTGTGAGCAGCTCTTGATGTCCTTCCACCTTGCAGTTTCTGCACTGGAGCTGGCTGACCATGGACTGAAACTTCTGAAACTGTAAGCCAAAATAAACCTCATCTTTAAGTCGTGGGTGTCCATATTGTGTACCAGAGATGGGAAGGTGGCTCAGACAGACTAAAGGCTGTGCTCTCCTTCCCTTCCCCATTGCTCCTTGCACACTACCCTCTCAACGCAAGCTGTGTTTGATCAACCAGGGCCTGACTAGCTGGGGGTGGGGCATGGGTGTTGGAGAAGGAAGGAGAGGCCTCCTGAAGTTTATCCACTTTTTTTTTTTTCAGTACTGGGGATCGAACTCAGGACCTTGTGCTTGTGAGGCAGGCAGCAGAACCACTGAGCCAAATCCCTGGCCCAGTTCATTTACTTTTAAATGCTCCAAATTTCACTTTGCTCCATCTACTTTCCCTGGATATAATAATTCTCCATACTTTAGTGAGACTCAGCTACTGTTATTTTATTAAACAGGGGCTCAGCATGCAGGCTTGGGCATCCAGTGTGAGTCAGTAAGGCATGAGTGGGGCTGTGAAAGGAGAAGGATGTCGCAGAATTCCTCCAGCTCTAAGATTTAGAAGTGCTACAGGCACTTCTCTGTGCCCTGAAGGAGCAGGAACCCAACCACATAGTGTCAATTCTATAAGATCTGTCTCACACTAAACAGAAATCAGCAGGCATACTTCACATTTAAGCTGCTTTTAATGTTCAAAAGCTCTATACAAAAAAATCATGAATGGTTCCTCACAACACCCCTGTGAGGTAGGTAGGCAAGTATTATTCTCCCATTTTACAGATGGGGAAACTGAGGCAGAGAGGTGAAGTGATTGGCCAGTGGTCCCAGGACAGCTGAAAGTCAAGGCCAAAGCATGAGAACACAAAGGATCCCTCCCAGTTCTGCTAGACCTTGTCTGCAAAGACACTAAAATCTTTGAATACATGCACAAATACAAACAAACCTTAAAAGGTAGGGGCAGACATACAGTAGTTTTGCAAAATAATTCAGTTAAAGGGTCAATATTTTCCAAAACTGGATAGATGTGAACAACTTAGGTCTCTTCTCTCTCTTTCAAACATCATAACCAATGAATGACACACCCTTCTGTCTTTTTGTTGTTTTGTTTTGGGTTTTTGAGGCAGTGTCTCACTATAGTTCAGGCTGGCCCTGAACCCACTGTGTAGCCCAGGCTGGCATCAAACTCACAGCAATCCTCCTGCTTCAGCCTCCAGAGTGCTGAGTTTACAGGTGTGAGCCACCATACCCAGTGACATCCTTCTGTCTTTCTGCAGAAATGCATGAGCCCAACTGGAGAGGTTTCCCTGGCTCTAGGAGCCAGGTGGGCAGATGGGCTCTTTACTGCCCAAACTTTGGGTTTCAGCAAAGAACAGCCCTGGCCTGAAAGCCTATCTTCTGCCCCTCCCCACAGCCTCCCCAGGACAGAGGTGATCCCGGGACCATAACTCAGCAGGGTTTGGCCTTTGTACTCCCCCAGGGAGGAAGCTCAAGCATCCTCTGCAAGGCTGGCCTGGAATCCAGGGGATCCCCTCCCAACATCCTTGACCCAGTCTCTCACATTCCACTGTTCATGAGGGCCACCCCGACAACCACCCTTTGGGTCCTGCTGCAGCGGGGGTGGGCATGGAGTGTCCTGGACACCTCCAGGGCCAGAAGGATAAGCAGGGAAGATAGGCTGCCTGGCACCTTGGCCCGGGCGCCAGGGCAATTTGAACTCTTCCTCCACAGTGCTGCATCAGCCTCCAGAAACGCTTTCCAAAAGTGCTTTCTAGATCCCCAAGATGGAGCCCCTGATGTTTCCAGCTCCTCACAGACTTCCACATCCTGCCAGTCCAGGGAAAGGGGAGAGGGAATACAAAGGAGAAGCTAAAGCCAGCCAGCCCCTGGCCACACGCTGTCCTTGCATCTCCCCAGATGGAGATGGTCAGGGCAGGAGAGACAATGGGTAAAGCTGTATTTAAGGTCATCAATCCTCCTACCTCAGACAGCCAGGGTCCCCAGGGCAGTGCTGAGGGGAAAAAGGGGGAAGGATGCAGGGCAGTCAGAGGAAGAGAGGGAAGGAAACTGACACTGGCTGGGCCATCAGAACCTTTGAGAGGGAGAAAAGAGGACAGAAGTGACAATGACAATCAGCTGCTTGGCAGTTTGAAAGCCGAACCCCAGCTATCTGCCAGGTGCCTACACCAGGTCTCCCGGAGGTGTCCATGTGCCTCTGAATGGCTGTGCCAGCTACAGATCCTAGATAAAGCTCTTTCCAAAAGACTCCCTGCCCCACCCAGTCACTCCAGGAAGCTGGGAGTTGCTTCTGCAAGACCAGCTCCCTGGGGACAGTCCCAGCAAAGAAGACCTGGAGAGGGGCAGGAGGAAGCCCCTACAGGAAATCCCTGCCAGCTGAGGGCTCAGGCCCAAGGCTCCGCTCCTGCCACCGGTGTCGCAGCCTGGAGAAGGGCTGGTCCTCTGTGCTCTCCAGCTCAGGGAAACCCAGCTGGTTGAGGATCTCATAGACTCCAGCCTTGGATGCCACCTGGAGGTGGGGTGGGGACAGAGACGGGCAGGGCTTCAGCAGAGGGAGGGGATCAGCCGGGCCTCTGGCACGCCACAGTCTCCTCATTGGACACTGAAGCACACGGGAGTCTGGGGCCCAGAGCGCCCCCTGCTTGGTCAACAAGTACAGAAACTCAGAGGGCTCATCTGTTAATAGCGCCAAGCCTCAGTTTCCTTATCACAGCATCATGGTCTCCATTCACAGGACCACGTGGAGAAGGGCTGCAAGTGCGCAGAGAGCAGCCCCAGATGGCCAGGTCCACACAGAGGAGCCATGGGGACCCAGGAACACTGGTCTGGCTGCCCCAAGCAGCAGAGCTGGGCCCAAGGGAGGCTGGAGGACAGTGGGGACTCAGGAGCAAACTCGAGCCCTTCAGCCAGGTGTTCGGGCTGTGGGCCTCAACCCTGGCAGTGAGCTGGCACCTCCCCTGGGCACCCAGCATGAAACCCCAGACTCAAACCACCAGCAATCTGTTCCTTCTCTCTGCCATACTAGGGGACCAGAAAAACACCACTGTTACTTAGAATAAAGAGACAGATTTGTCCCTCCCTTCTATCCTTAGCAACCCATCTGCTCCACTCCACAAGGCCAGAGAGGCAGCAAGAGGTCCAGTGGTGAGGCTGGTTTGTTCAGACCAGAACAAGGTGGGCGTTGGAGCCAGTGAGCCAGCTCTAAAGAGGACCTTGAGCAAGTTACCAATGCTATTAACATCATCTCCTCTTCAGCGGTTAGGACAGCAGGCTCCTGGGAACCACCAGCTTGTCCAAGGCCACAGCTGGGAGGGGACAAGGGTGGGCACCACAGCTTTTGCCCTCAGCCCTCACAGGGCACAGGTGACGGGTGGACAGAAGAAGAGGCATGAAGGGCCAAGGCCAGCACTGGCATCCCTTACAGAGCAGGGACCCAACCTGGCAGACTGCTGGGCTTCCTCTCTCACTCACTGACTCATTCACCTGTCAAGCTTTTTTTTTTTTTTTCCTTCTGGCAGTATTGGGAACGAAACCAGGGCCTTCATACTAAGCTACATCCCCAGCCCTTTTTTAATTTTTATTTTTCATTTTGATACAGTGCCTCCGTAAGTTCCCTAGACTGGGCTCGAACTTGGAATCCTCCTGCCTCGGCCTCCCAAAATGCTAGGATTACAGGTATGTGCCAGCTCATCTGCCTACCTGCCCAGTGCAGGCACCAGGCTGAGGACCTATAGTTCAACAAAATGCAATCAAATTGCAATCATGAAGAACAGCATTTTTCCCATCCCACAGGAACACCTGTTACCTGGGTCCCCCTAGGCACACATAGGGACCAGACCAGGTGGGAAGCCCCTGCCTGGCCTGTGTGAGCCCACATCCTGAGCCCATCACTCGGCTTCTGCCTCTCACCTCCCACATCCAGGTGCTGAAGGGCCTCTGCCAGGAGCATGCCTCCTCTAGGTGGAGGTAGGCATTGAAGAGGATCAGGTAGATGTAGCGCTCCAGGTACTGCAGGCTGCGAAGCTGCAGCCTCCGTGCCTCCTGCTCATCTTTGGCAGCTTTTGCCTGGAGGACAGAACAGATGGGTCAGCATGGAGTCCTCTCTACCCCCAAACACACACACCTCACTATCCCAAGTATGGGCCAGGTGACACCACCAGCCCAGGCCACAGGCAAGACCACCGAGTCTGCTGGCTCCAGGGATAAGACACCCACTTCCTATGGAGAGGAAGCAGGTGCTAGGCTACCTGGGTCTCCATTTCCTCACTGGAACTGTGGCTCTGGTCATGTTCCCAAGAGGCAGCCAGGTGACACTGAGCTCCCCACAGGAAAGCTGCATGGCCCCCAAGCATGGAAAGGCTCTTCGGGAGGCAGTACCAAGTACCTGGCTGTAAAGACCGTTTGCCAATTCTTGATACCCTTGAAAGGACACCTCCTCTGTGGCCCAGCACTCCCAGGACTAGAGGGAAGCCTTGGGCTCCTCCCTGCCCCTGTGGCCTCCCGCAAGCATGGGTAGAAGGGCTATGACCATGTCCTCGTGCGGCTTTCTCCAGCAGGCTCTGACTTGTGGAGGCAGCATCAGCCTCCTCCTCTCCCCTCTCAGCCTGGGTCCACCAGGAGGGTCGACTCACCTCTTACTAGGAAGGAAGAGGCCTCCTGTACCCTACCTGACCTTGCCTGTTTTGCAAACATTTAGAATCAGAGACAGAAGGGGTGAGCAGACAGCCCTCGGACTCCTGCCCTCAACCTCTTAAAGCCTGGGAACATGTAACTGAGCAAGAAAGGCCCCAGAGCCAAGGAGCAGCAAGAGATGAAGCAGCTGGGTTGGGGGAGCCCAGGTGCCTGGCCAGGTGAGTGGATGTGGGACTCGGCCTTTGCAGCAAGCAACCCCAACCCCTTCCGGGGAAATGGTCCAGGCCACATGTGAGGGGGAGGCCAGCAAAGCCCAGGAAAGGCAGGTTTCCCTGTGTGTGTGTGTGTGTGTGTGTGTGTGTGTGTGTGTGTGTGTGTGTGAGTGTGTATGTGTGTGTGGACCTGGACAGCGGGAATGTGTGCCGATGGGACAGCACAGAGGTCAGGACAGTGCCCAGTGTGGGGCTGTGACCAGCTTTCCTGGCTGGGAGAATGTGAGGGACAAGAAGGGAAACAGGGACTCAATTATGGAAGCAATCAGTGCCACTAGGAAGTTAACCCTCAGAATGGGCTCATGACCTTCCTATCTGTGAGAAGCATGGAACCTTTATCTTTTGGTACCAGAGATCGAACTCAAGTCCTTGCACTTGCAAAGCAGGCGAAGCAGGTGGCAGAACTACTGAGCTAAATCCCCAGGCCAACACGGGACCTTTAAAACACAGGGGCTGGGGCCAACCCCAGACACTGGAGACACAGAAGGCAGGAAGATGGTCTAAAATAAGGAGCATCTCCAGGGTCCCCAAGCACAGCAGACAAATGGGGAGGAGCCTGTGGGACCTGGATAGTGTGGAAGCTAAGCTGAGGCTTTGCCCTGCCCACACAGGCCCAGAGCTGCCTCGAAGCTGGGTGTAGCCACCTTCACTTGCTGATGACTAAGCAGGTGCTCAAAGCAGCTGGTTTTGCTTAGAATACTAAGCAATGGCCAAAAGAAAAAGAGAAAACAAAAGATTTCATACTGTCTTTTCCCAACCTACAGCCTGCAGCCTATTTAGAAACGTTTTCTCAGAAAGGAGAGAACACAGTCCACTGAGAACCATTTTAAACCACTTTTAATCAAAGGCTCAGAAGAGATGTCCCGTGCGCATGAGAGCCCTCTGCTCTCACCCAGCCCAGCCCCGGCCACAACAGCACAGTCCTCTCCATGGCCCACTCCTGTGGGGACAGAGGCTGCCTGTGCCAAGAGACAGGGTCAGGGTAGGGTGAAGGATTTGGCTGTGAAGAGGTACAGTGAATCCTTCCAAGCCCTACTGGCAAGTGTAGAATCAGCTCCAAATTCAGACCATGGTGTAAAAAGCATGCCTGGCACCTCCAGGAGGCCCCTGGGCACATCCTGCCCCATCCCAGGGCTGTGATTTGAGGCAGTGACCCACCTTCCTATCAAGCCCTGGTTTCCTTAAAAACATCCCACTCGCAACCTGCCTGAGAGGAGGGCAGGCCGGCCACCTCCTGTGCATAACAATAGTGGAGCTGTTTTGGAGTGACCTGGCAGGCCAGGCTGTCATTAGCTATGGACTGAGCCCTAAAATAGAAGGGCATCGGGAGGGGCAGCCAGGGCTCAGGCACTGCAGGCCTCTCACACCTCTGTCTGCCTGGCATAGCTGCCAGCCCAGCACTGCCAGGAGGGATCTCCAGGATGGCACTGAGGCTCAAACAGGGAGCCTCCCAGGATAGGCCTGCGAGGAGAACGAGCGTGTGGCATCCTGATCTGATGGAATTTCTCACATTGCAGATGGGCTTGAGCAAGGTTAAGTAAATACCCAGTCACAGCTTCCGGGCTGGGACTGAACTCCACTACTCAAGTTTTTCCCAGGACCCTGCCTCTTCACCAGTCATACCCAGCCCCTCCCTGCCCCAGTTCCTCTGCCTGCATGCCCTTCCTCTCCATCTGGCCTGGCCCTTTCCAACTTGTCCCCCAAGCCTGGGACAAGCCCGCCCCGGGCACTACATCCCCAAGACCCTCAGCCTGTCGTCCTCCTCCGCCCTGGGCTGAAACTTTTCACTCAACACTGTGAGGCTTCCTACAGCACCTCCCACACACACACACACACACACCAGAATCTGCCTCCCTAAGCAACGATAAACCCAGGGGCAGGCACCGGGCTTAATGCCCGCTTCTCCCCAGCCCCAAGGGCTTGCTTTAGAACTTCGTGGGCAGCAGGTGCGCAGCTAGTCAAGGGCACTGAGCTCCAGGTCATCTCCTGCACCTGGCTTCCAGCAGCAACCAGAGCCTAGATTCTAGACAGGCTGGGACCTCACACACTCTGCCCACAGTCACCTGCGTGCATGCTCTGGTGACATCAGCCAGGCCTCCCTCGCTCACTGATCGTGTCCCCATCCCAGTGGCAGATCCATCCCTCCAGTTCCTCAGGCCAAACCTTGAGCCCTCTCCTCTCAACCTCACATCCACTCAACCAGGGAACCCATAGCTCCACCCTGAAACACCTGAAACCCTGAAAGCTCTCTGCCTCTCGCCTCTGTGGTCCAAGCCCTCTTCAGCTCAGTGACAGCCCAACTCCAGCTCCTACTGTCTACTCACAACACAACCCCAGAGGACAAGAGGAACACAGGCCAGCACCTCTGCTCAGAACTCTGCCCTGACTCCCCTGGCACTTGGAGCAGAGGCTGAACCTAAGCAATCCCAACTTGGCCTGTCAGGTCCACCTCACACCCAGCAGCCTCCAACCTCCCCTCCCACCCTGCTCCCTCCCTCTGCCCCCTGAAGCAGAAGCATCACCCACCACAGGGCCGTTGCACCTACTGTATCCTCTGCCTGGAATCTTCTTCCCCAGATGCCAACATGGCTCCCTCCCTTACCTCTTTCGGGTCTACACCTGATCGCCCTATTTGACACTGCAACCCTTCAGCCCACCCCTTCCCTGTTTCCTCACTGCTTCACTCCCTCCCACAGACACATGGCTATCTGACACCATGACTCTCACTTTCCTATTGTTCATTGTGTCACTACAGCCCAGACTTGGGGCTGTGCCTTGTGGGGCATTCCAGCACCTAGCACAGTGCCTGGCTCTCAGCAGATGTGTGACAAATTGTCATGTCAGTGACTGATTAGCCCTTCCCTTAAACCCAGCCTTGAAGGACACCAGAGTTAGCTACATCAACCCCTTTGCTTTCCAGAAAGGCAGGCTGAGGTCAAACAGGTGACAGATTTGCCACAGTCACCCAGAGAGCTGATGGCAGAGTCTCAGTGGGAGCCAGGCCTCCTGTCCACTCCTGCAAGGCACAGCCCAGTGAGAGCCCATGTCTTTAAAGCCCTGGACAAGGCTCAAGCTGCAGGAAAGGAGCCCTGGGGAGAACCAGGAGCAAACGAGGACAGGCTGAGGTTGGTGTCCATCTGAGCTGTCCAAACTCCCCATTTAGGGAGCTACCCTGTGTCCCCCACTGGGTGGCAGGCAACATGCCACTTCCGGCTGCAGAGATGGACAGACACAGAGGGATGGGTCCCAGAGCACAGACCCCACCCTCTCCCTTGCAGACGGCCACCCAATGAGCTAGTGTGCCTCCTCCAAGGCCCTGCAAGCCCCTCTTCAGGCCTGCCTGGCACAGGAGGCTTTCTGTACCCTATCTGGAAGGGAGGAGAAGGCCCTCAGCCCACGCAGGTGACTAAATTTCCAAAGCCGCCATGTTCTGTTTAGAACTTCCAAAGTGTGAAGGAACTAAGCCTGGCCTCTCAGCCTGCCATTCATCCCACAGGCCCTGTGTAACAGCCCTACAGGGCCAGGCACTGGGATTCCTGCCCAACGTAACCCTGTCCCTCACAACACCTTCAGCTGCTACACGTGACCACCACACCCTTCCCACCCACTTCCCTCTGCTGTGGTGCCAGAGTTGGTCCTCACCACTATCCTCAAGGCACACAGAGGAGGGGAAATGACCTCAGGTGACAGATGGGAAGACAGAGATCCAGGCAGGCCAGTAACAGCACCCCGAGACAACCACACCCAACAGCAAGCAAAGAGGTGGTCACACTAGACAGAGTGACTTGGGGTAGAAGATGCTAGAGCTGAGGCTGAATCTTCACCCAACCACTAAAAACTCTACGTCTTAAGGTGTTCACCTAGAAGCCTGATGTGGTGGTGCATACCTTAGTCCCAGTTATTAGAAGGCTGAAGCAGGAGGATTACAAGTTCAAGACCAGCCTAGTCAACTTAACAACGCCTATCTCAAAATAAAATTTAAAAAGGGCTAGTGATATAGCTCAGTGGTAGAATGCTTGCCTAGTGTGTGAGAAGCCCTCAGTTCAATCTCCAGGACCACAAAAAGAAGAGGGACAAAGACAAAAAGGAAGGATAAGGACAAAAAAGGAAAGGAGATAGGCCTGCGCACTGAAGGTGCTCAGTGAGGTCTATCATTAACTA